ATTTCAAAAAAATACTGGCTATAGAACTTGATAGGATATAGAACATAACGTTTTCGGAGCTTTATTAAGCCAAATTATGTCTGTGGTAGCATAACTGATGGATTAATTTCAATCTCTGAATGCTAAATTCCCATTAGGAAGTGTGTCTACTTATTTTGAAGAATTATTGGATATTTTCCTGTTAGTTTAGCATAAGTCCAAGTTTCTGCAATGTAAATACACTATTTTCTTAAAAAATAGAACTTAAATTTGCTTGTTCTCCCATGAGACTATTTTAAACTAAACTAATTAGAAAATGACACATTAAAATCATGTACCATCAAAAGCAAGTTTAATTATTCAATACGGGTGCTACAATGTAATAATCACACGCCACAAACTAATCAGAGATCAACCGTGAAGCGATCATGTGATGAATTTTCTTAAGTCCTTTAAAGTTTTGTTAAAATAATATTTCCTTTCAACACAAGCAAAACACTTTCTTTGTGCTGCATAAATGTACACTAGCATAATCTATAAACATATACATATTTAAAAAGATTTAGAAAGATGACAGAATTTCTATGTTTGTGTTTCTTTTATCATGTTTATTTACAACTTTGAACAACAACAACAAATATCAGGCCACTTCTGCTTGGTTAACACATCAGAAGGAACAAGGGGAGTGATGATTCAAAACGAAACATATAACATAAGATATATATGTTCATGTATATAGGAATATATTTCAAGCCCGGCATGGGCAGGTGGTTAGGGCACTCGACTGGCAATCCCCGTCCTACCAAATATGCTCGCCTTTTCAGCCATGGGGGCGTTATAATGTGACGATCAATCCCATTATTCGTTGGTAAAAAGAGTAGCCCAAGAGTTGGCGGTGGGTGGTGATGACTAGCTGCCTTCCCTCTAGTCTTACACTGCTAAATTAGGGACGGCTAACGCAGATAGCCCTCGTGTAGCTTTGCGCGAAATTCAAAACAAACAAACACTCTTAAAACGCACCCACAACTTTAGGTGCGGGAAATTCTTGTGGTATCGCTCGGCTTCGATCTTGACTCTGAAATCCAAAGTCCTACCCCAGCTCTACCACTGAATATGAAGAAATAAAGTATAAAACAGTAGCAGAGAATAAAAGTAGATCAAATTACCACTGGACAGCAAAAGATGACGTAAATCATCAAAATGTTTAAAGAGTAAATAGAACTATATATATATATATATATAGTCTTTTTTTTATAATCATAGGTCAACCAGA